GGGGGGGGGGGCGCCGCTGCCCTTCCCTCCGCCCCGGCCCGCGGGCGCCGCCGGCGCCGCCGCCGCTAGGCCGGGGCCCGAGTCCTGCTGGGGAAGCAAATACCGCGCATGAGAGGAAAAGACGCGCACGGACCGGCGCAGGCGCCCCGTGCCCCGCGTGTTGACATGGGGAGGGGGCGCGGCCCCTGCCCGCCTCCCCGGCGGGAATCCCCGCTCGGCACCGCCCCCGCGGGAAGGGGGGACACGCCGGGCCCGCCCCCGGCGCGGGTTGTGCGCGTGCTCGGCGGGAGCGCGGCCGGGAATGGCGGCGGTTTTGGAGCTGCTGCTGCAGGAGGAGGTGCCGGTCAGCGCCGTGGTGCGGTGGCTCCAGCACGGCCCCGGCCACCGCCCGGCTGAGGTAACGCGCGGCGGGTCGTCGGCTCGCCCTCCCGCAGCGCCCCGGCTCCGGCGGGGCCGGACCCGCCGCCGCGCCACTCCCCCAGCGCCCTCCGCCGCCGCGGGCCGGGGCCGAGCGGGAAAGTTTGTGTTCCCCGGCAGTGGAGGCGTCCAGTCCGCGCTGCTGTGAGGGACGAAGCCGCGCGGGTCGGCCCAGGGCCCAGTCGGTGCCGTTCTGCCGCCGCGCACTAGGGCCGAGCTCCCGTCCAACAACGGCGGCACCGCCCCCGGCGCGGGCGGGCTCCGGGCAGAGCGGCGGGAAGGCGAGGCCGCCGGCGGGATCTACGTTGGGAGCTGCCAGGCGGGTGTGGGAATCCCACTAACATCCGCGGGGCTGAGCCCGCCAGCCGGGCGGGAGCAGCGGGGGATCGTGCCGGGTGCCGGCGCACAGCGCGGGGGGGCGAGGGGCGGCGGGGCGCCGCTGGTGTGTCCTGAGGAAACGCGGTGACAGGACGGGGTGACGCTTCCCGCGTTTTTGTCGGGGAAGGTGGCGGTGAGAGAAAGACGAGGCGCTTGGCTGGCAGGGCTTGGCGGTGGCTCTATGCAAGCGCTAGCGCGCCTCCCCGCTGGCCCGCCTGGGTGTTGAGGAGGATATTTCTTGGGGCTGGGTGAGGGTGCTTGTTGGCCGAGTTTTGTAATGGGATATGCCTGGACGATTTGGGTTCTTGTGGAAATAAAAACGTTGTAACCAGAGGTGCACTAGGACTGCCTATATTTCACTAATAACATAGAGATACAATTTGTTTTTAAAGCATTTTCTGCCTGAGCCCCTCATGGCGTGTTACCTAGTGTTAAAACTCATTGGTGTCATCCACGTGAGTTAGCTGAGTATCACTGTCATCCTAAACGTGCGTGGGAAGAATGGACTAGCAGCTTTATGCTGTGTGGTATTTCTTCAGCTGCGACTTGCAGAAGCAGGTCTGTGGAGGTTAAGAAGTTTGAGATGCTGGCAGCTCAGCTAGCACTGTGTAGGCAAGGGGTGAGGAGGCCGAAAAGTTTGCCCTTGCAAGGGAATTGCTCACTGCCTTTTGCTGCTGGGAGAAGCTCAGTTACTTCACCATGAGAAAGCAAGTACGAAGTTTGCAGCAAGTACGAAGTTGCAGTTTGCTGTAACCCAAACATGGAGGAACCAAACCTCAATTAACTTGGACAGAGAAAGATGAGTGAATGCAGGTTGTGCTCTGAAAAGCTGCAGAAAGTACCTGACCTTATGCATGGTGTAGACTAATTATCTTGTGCCTCTATGCTAAACTCGGGGGCACACAAGAAAATGGTAGGCTACGTCCCGCTCTAGCTTTCATGGCAGTTTCAGATGGTCTTCTGACACCTCACAGGGATTGTGCTCTGACCTGTGTTGGAATCTCATGTTCCTCCAAGAAGCTGAACTGGTCTCACACTTTCAAATATGAATTTCAGCGTAGGTATTGAGGATTGTGGGAGTCCAGTCATAGGCATGCTTTCACTGCCTTCTTTCATGCAAAAAAACACCTTCAGAAATAGCGTTTACTTTTTTGACTTTTCATCTAGTAGAGGTGTGAATATAAATTAACTGGAGTATGTGTACAATGACTTTAGTATTAGTAAGGAATAAGTTGCTGCCTATGAGTTGCTACCACAACTTCTTCTGTTGTGGCAAATGTTGTTGAATCCCATTGAGAGGAGACAGAAACCTGGTGCAGTGTTATGAACAAAAGAATTTTTACCAAGTTTAAAAACTTTGAACTATGCATGTAACATGAAGTCTCTTTTTGTCTTGTAAGAACACCACTACCTGTTTAGATTTTAAATGTGTTGAGTCAGTGGTGGGTTTTTTGTTTAAGTTTCTTAAGTATAAACTTCATTTGCCTTAAGGTTGCAGAGTTTCTGTTTAGACCTCTCTGAGGCCTAAAGGGAGGAAAATTATTTAATTGAAAGGGAAGAGCAGCTTTGATCTTGTATTTGGCACTGCAGGACTCCGAGTGCTTAAACAGTTGTTATAGCACCCCTCTGTGGGAGCAAGTGGCATTTATAGACAGAGGGGACAGAGAAGTTGCAGATTTTAGATTTTTCTATTAGAATTAGCTGCTTTCAGTATTGATGTCTTTGAAATGTTGAATTTAGGAGTGCCAGTTGCTCCAAGTTCTCCCTGGCCATAGCTTCAGGGAGTATTACTGGTGTTTCCATGGAACTTGTTTCCCAGTTCCACTGTTTCCCATTCACCAAAGTGAATGACTCCATCTGAAAACTCGTGCCAAAATTGCTTGTGTGGAAGCTGATCTTCAGATCTGTGACCAGTGCTAAGGTTGCTTGAATTTCAGTGACCTATTTTGCCAAGTCATGTTGTTTTTTATTATGTATTGCAATCCCACAGTTACTACTTAAATGAATCTAAGTACATGGACAGAAAGAAAAAGGTGGCTTCTTTTATATTGATTCTTTGTCCTCTTTTCTTGTAGGAAAACCACATCCATGACAAGCTGGTATCTCTTAGTTTGCTTCAGAAAGATTTTGTGCCTTTTCTGCTAAATTTTTTAAGGGAACAGACCAGCCAGATTCTGACTAATGGACCCTCTACTCCTGCTAAAACACCTAATTCCAAGGCCCATGGGAGCCAAAGGACAGGATCAGAAAGGAGAGCAGGCCATGCAACCAGCAGCCGAGTGCAGCTCTTTTCCCAAAGGACTTCAGTGACTACCTGCACCACAGATACCAGCTTTTCTCCTGCTGCAGCATCCAGCAGTTCCTCTTCCTTTTCTGGGTCAAACCTCTCTAGCCCTTGTGGTGATTTCCCAAGCGCAGTGTCCAGTAGCAGCCCGAGCTTTGGGTACAGCCCTGGGCTTCACCATGGGGAGAAGCGGTCATCTCAGAAGGCCAGCTTGGGGAGCTTCCTTACAGCCACGCCAGAAGCCCTGCCAGTGAGACGAGGCCGAAGGAAAGGAAACAGCTCAGTTGGTGCCTCTGGCCGGCAGGTAGCTCGGGATCTGGGGCGTTCCCTCGCTGAAGAGGAAGATGGAAAGAATGACAGTGTATTGTGGAGTGGAGGGAGAAGGAAGCAGAGTGAAGTGCCTCTTGATTCTGCCAGATCCCCACCCAACCAGCTAAACCTAAACAACTTGGAGGAGTTCCCACCCATGGGTGCTGCCTCTGGCTGGACAAAGTAAGAGCAAGTCTGCCTCGCTGTCTCATTTGGATTGTGCTGCAGGTTACTGTTTTTTGACTAACTCGTCGTGTTGTGCGTGTCCAGATGCAGAGGATACTGTAATACACAATGCCTGGCTCCTTGGTCAGAACTGCTTTCTTGTGGTCACCATGTAGGGAGGGGAGTATTGCTTCAATGGGTAGCCAGGTTTCCACTCTCTGAACTCACCCAAGACTCCTCTTTAGCCTCTCACTTGGGATGCTGCCTGCAGCTTACCGGTGCACGGTCCAGCTCATGTTAAGCCGAGAACATCTTTGTCTTTGCATGTTCTAAGAACTCAGCGTTTTCTTGGCTCTTCACATTTCTCATTTAGCATAATAGCAGTTGTTAAGGAAGAGTAGTCTTAGAAGGCTCTTCAGCTCTACTGATGCTATCAAAGAAGCTTTTGGATTGACATTCTGTGGCTTCTGGCAGCAGATGTTAGTGTGCAGCTTTGTGCTGTGTGATCATGCACAAAATAGCTGGCTGTATTCTTGGTCTGCAGCAAGCCCTGGTCGCCTTGGTGACTTTGGTTTAGCTTCTGGGCAGCTGTTTGTGTTGTGGTTGCCTCAGTCCTTTTATCTTTCTCTTTTACTCTTTAAAATCCTCTTTAGCAAATACAAGGCTTTCATGTCAGCCTGTTTACTCCATATATCAGTCATTGGTCTCTGAAAGTGGGACTTTCTAGTTGGACATGCAAAATTCCAACTGAAAATTATTAATGTGTGAGTGTGTACAGCAGATCCAGATGCTGAGTCCAGACGGTGCTCTAGATGAGGCTCTTTGGCCAAGGGAGATAAAGTGTGTTTCCAGCATAGACAACATCTCTTCCTCAATTACATTATGCTCAACTAGGAAAAAGAAGGAGGAAGGAGGTCACGGAGTGTTTGGAAGTCAATGCTATATGGATTTTGAAAACACTGTATCAATGAATATGTAACAACCAGCAAATCCTTGAGAAGTGTAATGCTTTATGTTTCTGT